TACAGGTTGCTTTACGTGATGAAAATCTTGGAAGGTTGCATTCCTTCCACAACATCCCATGTACTGGTCAATCCTCTAAACAGAGGATAGTGCATAGTCTTAAAGAGAAATATTTCTTCTTCAAGCTTGTGACATACTGCAGATGACAGTCTTCATACAACCTGCACAGAGTATACATGATTATTTTTGTTTCAAGTTTTGATATATTTTCTAACATTTTTGAAATTAAATAAATATTTAAGCTTGTTTAGTGCTGCAGATCAAACTCAAAGTGCAGCAACAGATCAAGCCTTCCTGTGATGCCCCATGATCTAGAGTGGCCCTGAGGAATGCATCTATGAAACCATAAATTTTTGCAGCATTCCCCGCAACTTGGGAGTCCCATGAAGACTGCCTCCCACCTTACCAATGAATACCATTTGCATTTCTGAGGTTTCTCTGAGTTTGTGAAGTATGTATAACATCGTAGGTGGTAGCCAGAAGCAGCACATTCTTAGCTGTAGTTTTCAATGTCCCTAATTACCTTTTTACAAAACTCTTTCTCTAATGTCATGCTTTCATACTGCCTCCCAGCTCTATTCCTTTGTATAAACTATATAACTGTTCCTTCTGCTGCAATGGAGTTAAACTGTCATCAATCACCTAACATTAATCTTTCAGATCGTTAGTAACAAATATGCCATTATTTCTTTTTTATTTTACAATTACCATTCTGTTAGCCCAAGGCCTTTTTCTGTGGAATACTCTCAAACTTCCAATATTTGGGAGAATGTGTGAGAGTAACGTATCTGTGGGGCTGCATTACATCGGATGGTAAAGCACTTTCTGCAGGCTAAAAATGCATAAGGGAATGGTTATGGTGATCCAGTGGAGGTGTGATCACTTGCTGTGCTGTGGTAACGTGGCCACACGCCAGAGCCCTGGGAATTTCTTGTGGCTGTCCAGTGCATCGCTCTGCTCTTGGGTAGGGGAGGGGTAGAAGAAGGCCACCAGCTGCTGCCACCAAACTCCCAGGTGAGAAGCTGAGATCAGGTAGGTTCTCTGCTACGCTGCTTCTAAGTACTCCATTAGTGACAGCTTGTGCATCAAGAGGAGGCTATCCTTAAACAAAACTGCGTGCGGGGGGCAGAATCTTGTCTGCCGTTGTTCTGCGATGAAACCAGCAGAGGGGAGTGTCTGAGTGCTCTGCAAACCGGTGAATATCGGAAGCCTTGCTGGTCTGTTATGATCCCAGTAAGAAGAGCACTCAGACTCTGTGTCATTTAAAATGCTTTTTGTTAGAGCTAACACTATGAAATGTGAATAGGATAGATAACCTTACATCCCTTTAGATGCTAGGAGCCCAGAGCGGTACAGCATTGAGCAGGATGCCAACCCAAGTGCAGGTGGAACATACTCTGCATAGTGGAGTTTTGTATTTCAAGAACTTAAGTTTTAACTACTGATTTCACAAATGACAACACCCTTCTCATAAATAGTATCTTTGGAACTCCATCATTCTGAAATTTCAAATGAGCCCTGGTAGTGATTTTTTGAGATTGGTTTTTTGTTGAAAATAAGTGTCTGGCTAGGAAATTTAATCTAATTAAAAATGAAGCAGTTTAAACATCTCTATTTGAACTTCAGCTTGTTATCAACACAAGAACCATCTGGAAAGTTTGAATGCCAGAATAAATAAATATTCTCAAGGATATGTGAAACTTTCATCACAGTAATTTTTGTTTCGGTATATGGCTATAAATTGCTTTCCAAAAATACTTGAAAGCACATAATTAGCCAGTTTTGTTCAGCAATATTTTAACTATTGTTATTAATTTCTACAAATACTGCATATTGATATTTTAATTATAAGATTATTATCAAGACAGTAATAAAAATGCATAGTTTTACCAATATCTACAGTGATATTGCTCAAAAAACTTTGAAGTATCTTTATTTTCCCTCTGTTTGGTAGTAGAAGTTGTTACTGAGTTAACAAATTAAATGGAAATTATGTAGTTTAAGGGATCCTCTATGCACAGCCAACAACACAACAGAAATAAATCTGTAAATATAAAGTTATTTGGTAACTTCAGTTTTAATCAGTAGAAATTACCTATTTTTTTCAGATTATCAGATCCTTCTGAGAGAACTCAAAGAACTGTGTTATTGCACTAAGCCAGTCAAGTGGCAGTAGGCAGAACTCAGTCTGAGTCTGACTGTGTTAATAAACTCATTCATAGTACGATGTGACGTTAACATGTTCATGCAAATTATGCGGCTGCATGTAACTTACAAACAGAAAAAGGAGCCAATGTAAAGCAAAGATTATTAGGTTTGAGATTACCATCTCACTTTATTCGAATCTGATTCTGATTTCCTTTATATAGAGTTGTAGATAGACCTAAAGAATGTATTACTCACTAAGTTGCCAATCCTTTCTTTTTATCAAGGTTCATGTATTTCTATTGCAAAATAGTCCTTACTGGTTTTCTTTTCAAAATTTCCAGTGCTTAAATGCAGAGGTGGTAATATGCTTCTCAAATAGCTGGGATAGATTGTTAAATCAGATAATCGCCAGCCATTCTGATCCATCCATCTTTAATTCAGGATTCCCAGACCAGCATCTTGTACATGGCCACTCTCCAGGAATTCTGCACTTGGTGACAGACAAGTAGCTATAAAGGTATGTATGATCTTTACAGTCCTTGAATCATGATATTAATATCATGTGAATATTTGACAGTCCTACTAAAGAAAATAGGATCAGTCTGGTAATCTTTTGGCTGCTGTAGGGTCTGACAAGTTGTAATACTTAGCTTGCCTGCCAGCAAATTCCTCATTAAGCACAAGATATCCTAAAACAAATCACCTCTCCGAGATGTTAATATATGTAGAGTTCTTTTAAGCAGATAATTCTAGCCAAAAAATGCACATATTTTGTCTTCTCTTTCTACCATGTAGCCAAGCTGAAATACTCTAAAGGCTTCCATATATTGAAACCTATCATTTGGGTGAAATGATCACAGTGAAGCACAGGAAGACACAACACAATTAAGGTTTAGGATTTCACTACAAACATAAAATTCCAACCTAAAATGTTTGTATTAGCTTATACAAATATCTCTTTTATGAGTTAACCCACGTAGATTTTTAAATTGATCTACAGTCCCTTTAAAGATGAACTGGGCACACACTGCATTTTTTTCATGCAATTTTGATGCAATGAATAGTGAAGTCCAAGCATTTTGACTAAGATTCTTAATGTCAGTTTGGGCTGAGAGCCAGAATTCCAGAGAAAACACAGGGAAATATTCAAGAGAGCTGAATCACAACTAAAGTTCTGTCTTGGCAGTGACTTCAGCAAACAGAAATAGTCATGAACACATCTATGTGTTTATTGTACCCGCATGGGTAGGCAGAGGTCTGTTTCACCTGTGTACGTAGCAGGGCACTTCTTGGGTAGAAGTTGACCTACACCCCCAGGTACTGGAAAATTGAAGTCATAGGGTCTAACACAATTCAGGTTGTAAGGAACCTCAGGAGATCACCTAGTCCAAACTCTAGTCTTAACATTTATCTTACATAGATGACCTTTTCTTGCCTTGGAGTTTATGCCCCCAGGCCCAGCTATGTCTCTGTGTTTATTTCCACAGTATTGATTCATTTGCCTAAGGGTCAGATGCCTCCCAAGTTCAACAAGGCAGTGAAATAAAATCCTCTCATTGCTTTTCCAGCTTTGAGCTGACAGGGACAGAAATTTCAATGGTCTGATAGCGGGGCTGCCCCCGAGACAAGTGATGATTTTTCAAAAAAAAAATGGGGTAGGGGAGAAGAGGACAGGAGGAAGCAGAACAGCTGCAGTAGTTGGAGTTGCCAGGATCAGCTTGCCTAGCAACCCCCTTTCTTAGGCAAGGGCATCTCATTCAGCAACAATAGCAACATCAGAAGCAGCCCTGACACTTGGTGAGCTGGGTGCATGATAGGGAGCATGAGAGCTGTCAAAACACCAGCCTTAGGGCTCCGAAGCCTCCTCAGTTTATTGGTAGGTAAACTACATAGATCTGCTTACCAAACTTATTCCTGTGGTCTGTGCATACGGAAAGAACTGCATATTGCTTATTGCAATGAGACAGCTATTTATACCAGGCAATTGTTGAATGTTACTTTAGTAATGTAGAAAACACGAGTAATAGAATAATATATTGGAAAAATCAGTTGTATAATTCTGTCTTATTCCATGAATACTGTGATAAGTATTTGTATAACCCAATAGATGATTATCCCTCAATAATATATAGAAAAATAATAGCAGATTATACAAATAGAACCTATTATCTTTTACTAGAAGTGGAATAAGACCAGGCATTATCATAACATATCTGTTCTGTTCATATATAACCTAGAGTGTATATTTTAATACAGGATTTATATATATAATACTATTATATATATACAGGTATAATGTATATTCTGCGACTGTTGCAGTTCAATCTGTGTGCTGTTATAATGCTGTATTCCACCTGTAATAGGTTTATGCAATCTTAATATTATCTATAATTATGAATTTTAACATTTATATAATTAACAATTGTATTGTGTTATTAAAGGTCCAACAAAAAAATTACTCATTCAAAGAGTTTAGGTGTAAAAGATTGAAAGAAACTGAGCATTGGGGGAGGGGCATTTTAAAAGCAAACAAAAAACCTCTTTAAAGCAAATGTGTCTCTGCGTATGGTCCTAGAACCACACGCACTTTGTAGAGAAAACCTTCTTGCAAGAGAAGGTTTCATGGTTCATTTCTGGATAGATCAAAATAATGTATTGATCAAGTTTGTATACCCCTAGGAAGCTGTCATTTTTTGCTCTAGAAGTTGAAGAGAGCGAAATATGCCAGGCTATGTTTCTGCATTTAGTTTGATATATTTAGAAAAAATATAAACTTTGGAGATGGAACTCATTCTTCCCCTGTTCCTGTACTGTCTTTTCTGGAGTCTGTTCATATGCTTTTCTTCTGCCAGGTGATATTAGTGGAGGGGTGGCATGATTTAGATAACAAAGACTATGACTGTTGGCCGCTGGAAAAACCAGATGAGTATAACATGCTGGACTGTGGAGGTGAGTGAGTCTTAAAGCTGCTCAAGAAAGATCATCTCTTGCTTGGGGAATGGTTGGAGACCCAAAATTGAATTACTCAGAATAATACCTAACCTGTGATGAATGTTATGCATGGTAGAAGCATCTGAATCAGTGACAACCTCTCTTTCTAGAGAAATAAGTGAAAGAAAACAACCAAAAGTTACTTCAGAGTAATTATTTGTTCAATATTTATTGGTTCCAAAAGAAAAAGTGATAGCAACAGCTGAATCCCTTCCTCCAGAAAAAAACTGAAAACATTTTATTTCTCATTAGAGAACCAAATGCAATTTAATCTAAACAAAGCAGGCAGGCAGCTCTGCATTGCAGCAAATTCTATTGAGTCATTGCTGAAATTTTGTAGTGTCAGTTCAAAAGTGGACTGTGTTTAAACCCTCCAGCCAGTAAGCAAAATCACTGATTCTACATGCCATGCTTTTCCACCTTGCTCGAAACTGTGTTCCATTAGTATTAAAAAAAAAAATCTGAGATCTTTAACCAATTATTCCAGTCAGTCTCAGAAATAATTTTACATGATGAGACAATAAAAAATAGAATAATTTTTTACATTGGAAATTGATTGTTTGACATTGAAAAATAATTAAAGAGCAACTGAAATACGGTAAATTCAATTTAAATATAAGAAAAATCTTTTATACTGTAAGGGTATTCAGACAGTAGAATGGGTTGCCCAGAAAGGTTGTAGTTTCTCCATCCTTAGAGATTTTCAAAACCCAAACAGACAAAATCTAGAGCAACCTGCTTTAGGTGACCCTGCCTTGAGCAACACAGGATTGGACCAAATGATTTCCAGAGGTGCCTTCCAGGTTCAACTATTCTGTGATTTTGTGACTATGTAACTAAAAAATGACTGATGTAAAGCAACACTTTTGTTCATGTTGTAGAAGATAAGACCAGAGACAATGTGTTTCAACAGGGTTTTTAGAAAAAAGAAAAAAAAAGAACACCTGAGAAACTAATACTGATAAAACACGCCAGGAAATATACTGCTGTGTCACACTCTGAGCTCAGTATTAGAGTTAAACATTTTCCAAAGACTTCCGCTGGAACAGTGATATTCAAAGACTATCTAGATTATTGTCAGCTAAGACTTTTATCCCTGAATGAATTTACTATTGCTTTAACATTGCAACAACAATTTATCAGAACAGATGACTTGTTTAAAGCTATTCTTACCAATAATCAAAGTGTGAACTGAGTACAAGGGAAATTAATGAGTAGGTTGCTTAATTAATATATATCCTCTACAACAAGTTTTAGAATTAACTCCACGCTCTATCCTGCTTGCCCTTGTGGTTCTTCCTTGCCATCTTCTAGGCACTGATAAAAGCAAAGCAAGAGGCATGTACTGTAGCCTCATTGCTGTGGATTTAGGACAAGACCTTCAAAGCACTTAGATGTGGGAGTATCTAGCATTGAAAGAAAAGTTTTGTTTATCTTTGTGAGACCTTTAAAGGGAAGTAGAAAGTAATTTAACTGAAATTTATGCTGACCTTTTGCCTTCATTCTCACACATTCTCTGAAGCTCAGCTCTCTCTTACCTTTTAGTGCAAATCACACTAGCATTTTTTTGTAAATCTTTGTGTTGTAGTTTCTCTCGTAGTGTTAGCATGTGTAATGAGTGTTTACTTTTCAAGGGAGATGGGAAATCAAGAGGTTATTTTACATTTGCTTCTTGATATCCGAAAGGGAGTTGTATTTAGGGGAAAAAATAGCAGCTTCACTAACAATGCAAGTGAAGATATATATGTAAAAACAACTCCAGAGTAATAAAAGAGTTTAAAATTGAACAACAACAAAAAAGTGAGGATCTTTTGAAGGTCAAATTTACCTATCCTCTGCAGAAGGAATTAAAAGCTCCTGTCAAACTGAGAGATACATACTTTCATGATGTAAGTAAATTGATGCAAATCAAAAACTTCATTGAACAATATGAAAAGAGTTAGGTGAATGGAGTGGGAGGATTCTGATAGTGTTGTCTAAGAATATGGACTAAAACTTCTCCCACCTCTTATCTCACTTCATTCCTAGGCTCAGAGCAGGTAATAAGGTGTCTCAGGGACAAGAGAGGTGACTTGGATACCAGTAAGAGTGAGGAAATGGAAAATGACTGATGTCTGGGTAGCACTCCTTCCACAGTCCTCTGTTCTAGACATGACATGGTTTTATATATGAGAATTCTTTCTTAAATATATAATTATTAGTATATATAATTTATGTTTCATGAGGTTAAGGGTTTTGACTGAATTTCATGTGTGCTAGATTTGTCTGTTCTTCTTCCATAATGAGGTGTCCCTCAGTGAAAGCAGCCAAGAATGAAAAGCAATGTTTATAGCCTGATCAAAGAGGAAAGGAAACATATCAGGACAAGCAGTGCTGCATTATACTGGGAACAAATTTACTTTAGATTACATGACCAGATTTTTTGTCGTATTTCTCCAATTACTTGATCTTTTCTAAGTGGGTGTCAGACCTATACAACCACTAAAATGGATGACTGTTTGGGGCTCATAAAAAGCAATAGGAACAATAGATGAAATCATATGAAGTTTTACATTTGTATGCATCTGTAAAGTAGAAAAGTATAGCAAATATATTGGCCCATGGTTGTGTTGTTTCTAGGCCTGGAGATGGTATGGGTGCAAAGGCCTCCAGAAAAAGCTGTGAGTGGGGAATTCTTCAACGTGACCTATGCAGTCTTTGCTTCGGACAGCTTTTATCAATATGCAGTGCAAAATGGAATCCTTTCTCACAGGTATTATCGTTTATAAAAATCCTTTCATGGTCATGAATATACAGGGATTCTGGATGTACATTTTCAGTAACATAATTGCAACACATACTCTGGGGCTCCTCACTAATTCCTTGCATTTCTTGAGGTCTCTTATAGCTCTGTTTGCCCTGATATTTTCCCCTCCGCAATGGCCTTGCTCTCAGAGCAGCCATCATGGCATGCTTGCCCTCATGGTCAAGGATAGGGCACCGTCTTCCTGTACCTGCATTACTGAATCAGTGCAACTCTAAACATCACTTCTTGCCTCCTCTACACAAGGAATTCACAACTGAAGTTTAAGCATGAATTCCAAACTAACTGTGCCTTACACTCATTTTCATCATAAGTGTATTTGAAGTGCACAACATGGATATGAAAAAGAGGCTGGCCCAACCCTGAATCCACTGAATTCAGTGGTGAATTTTTTTGATTTCTGTGGAGCTGAAATCAGTCCAAAAGCTTATAGATCAACTTACACAGTGTTGGTAACTGTAGACAACAGAAGTTAAATACAGAGTGTTTATGTGTACAACTCCAGATCACTAACAGGCTAATACACCCTGATTTTACACTTTTGTCTGTACATAGCAGTTCTCCATCCATATACAGCAATGTCTGGGACAGAGGCCGCAGCTCTATTTCCCCAATTTGTGTGCTGTACTTGGTTATTGTAAGAGATATTTATGCAAAACCTCACAATTTTCTCTGCCAGTCTGAGTGGTCACATTGCAAAGTTCAGATTGTAAAAGCTGTTATTCAGAGATATTTTTTTTGTATTGAAAGATGACCTATAATCAATTTGCAATGGCAAAAAGTTGGTATTGTATTTTGATCGTCTGTGTACTATGGTTACACAGTTTTTTGAATTTTTTTATCACATTTTCTGGGATTTATGGCTAGTAATAGCTCCAAGGACTTAACCATAAAGCAGGTTTTTTCACTGCTTAGAAATTAATCTGTTTTTCTAGTCTTTCCAGGGAGACCCACTCTCTTAAATCAGTAAAGAGCTTGGAAGATTCTGCTCTTTGTGTACTTATACATATCTTGCACATAGAGACACATAGCAAATATTTTAAAAGAGAAATCTATGCTGCAGTTTTTCAAAGGGATCAAATTTACACCTCATTTTGACTAGAAGATGATCTGGTTGACTCTTAAGCTTACAGTGGCTAGCCCAAATATGGCTGAGGCTGGCAAGTAAACATATGGGTGTTAGCATAACTGGGTGAAGCCATGATGAAGATATTGAATAAAAAACACAGAGTATGGGTTAAATTTTAAAAAGCAGCCATAAAGACAAATAGACAAATACATGATGGAATTAGGCACCAACTTGCTTAAGTGGTTGTTTAACTCCCGTCATGGGCTCAAAGGGGCAATAGATTTTAATATTTTATCTGTTTAGATGTCTTGCGGATTGACAAATTTGCTTATCTCAGGTTTCAGCTATGTTTATGCCTGTGTAAATCTGGCCATGAATACACTCCATGTCAACCCGATCCCCTGTGTTTGTGTGTACTTCTTACAATACAGTCTTCTGTCTTAAATCTACTCAATGCTGGCTAGTTCTTCTTTCATTAAAAACAAAGTGAAAAATGAATCCTAGTGTACTGGGATTGCTTTATAGAGATCCATCTCAAGTGCACAACATTTAAACTAAACCCTACAACTAAGTCTGGCTATATTTACTAAGTAAACTATGTTTGCAGAAAACAAAAAAAAAAATTATTTTAAAGCCAAATTTATTAGGGTGATAACCAGCTGACAATGTAACTGAGGAAACAGTGAGAAAAAGTGTTGCATCACACATTTCCAGGTAACTACATTCATCTTTCAGGGATGAACTTTCAAAAGGCCTACCTTGTTTTGCAGGACAGTCTATTGATAAAGTCCACTTTTTGCTCTGAGTTTTTGGTTTGGGGAAATGTATCTGATATTATTGTCCAATATAGTTATTTTCCGTGGCTGTTTGGGTTGTGGAGCAACGACTGGAGCTGAATGATATGTATGAATTGCATGCATAGATGAAGGTATAGAATTGAAAACACTGAGAATGAAAGTAGCCAGGGACACATATTTCTGATAGTGGAAGTAGAGTAATGGTATCTTCTGTTGTGCCAGATGTAGCAGTGCCAAGTAACTCCATCTGGCCATGAAGTCAGTCTAGGGAGAGAAGTGGAGGCTGGTACCTGCTTGTGGTGTAGTATCTGCCAGAAGTCCCTACTGTGTGGCAGTAGACAGTGGTCTGCTTGACAGCGGTCCTCATTGCTCTAGGAGCACTTCAACCAGAAACAAAACAAAAGAGAAAGAAATGGTGTAACAATATTTATTTCACTGCATATGTTTTTGCTGCTCATTTTTCCATGTGGGATAAAGAATAGGCTCTCATGTGCTTGTTGCAATTTTGGCAAATGAGGAATGAATATAAAAATTTCTCTGCTGCTTGTCTAGCACTGCTACTGCTGCAAAGGAATTCTGTGAGGAGCATGAATGCCCTGCCAGCTGGAAAGATGCAAATGGGGAGAACTGCTGTGTCTACCATGCCAACATTCACTCTTGTCCTTTGGCCTTCATGGTTAGTATAATGGTGCAGCATCATGTGCTCTGTTCTTGCTACTGGATGAGACATCACTGTAATAACCAGGTTCAAGTTTATGAAGGCTTTCTGTGATTACAATTAGACCAAATCTATAGTTCACTAAAGCCACTGTGGGGATGTCTGTCAGTTTTCGAGAGTTTCACACTGGATGCTGAGGCTGCAAAGCAAATGGCTGGATTTTTGGACAACTCAGTATTCAGAATCTCTCATTACGTTTAGTGGGGCCAGCTTCATCTCTTTGCAATTACTTGACTCAAGTCTCTGTACAGTCAATAGAAAGACAGATCATTTCATTCTAAAACAAGCAGGGAGAATTGTCAGTTGGAGCTGTTACTGTCTCTGCAGATTGTAGATGGACCCTGAATGATTTGCTTGAATTACTGAAGCTGAGTGGGGTGAGTATCACTGGCTGTGATTTGTAGAACTGAGGCCTGTATACACATGCCCTGAGATGGAATGATTTTTCTGTATTAGATCAGAGAAAAAAAAGGAATCCGAAACCAGGATAATGGAATTTGTTCATGCAATGTAAGCAGGATCCATTCTTATCTGCTTGGCTCATTATAAGAGCCTGTCCCTTTTTGAATGAATATTTAAGGTTCTGACTCTAAGAATACAGTTTGGGACACCTTTTTTTTTTTCTTTTTTTTTTTTTTTAATCTGTGAAGTCTTACCCTGCATAATAACCTTCATGAAGTTCTCCAGTCTTTCTAGCCAATCTTCTTTCTGGCAATCTGACACATTCTTCATGATCAGAGATGGTGTAATAGAAAACCTACTCTACACATCTTGCAGCTATTTCATGTACCCTTCTGTGTGAAGGCTTAATATCTCCACAAGTGCTCTAGCTTACTTCTTAGTGGTCCCTTCTTAAGGAGCTGTTTTATCAAGGACTCCCCTAAGGATATTCCTTAGCTGATATCAGGACTTTGGTTTAATAGAGGAATCCCTGCTGGAGCCATTACATCAAAACTTGTGTCTAGAACCATAGTAAAGAACTTCAACGTTGCACCACTGTGGTGACCTCTCCATTATTTCTTACTTTAACAATTAGTTCTGCTTGGAATTAAGGGATGGAAAAGGTGAAAGCATGTAGCCAACATGCATCATGTGGCTTCCTGGTAATACTGTAAATATTTCAGTTCCTGCTTCGAACTCTAAGCAGGTTGCTGTCATACAGCAACAAAGCCATGAGTATCATTGCATAAGACTGAACATACACTTCAAAAGAAGCTTTTTCCATTATTCGAGAGGAGGTTTTGTTGGTTTTTTTTTTTTACAGTGTCATGACTTTTAAAACATTTTATCTTGGTTAACATGAAATGCATTTCCTGTGGTTTGGTCTATGTCTTACAGTGCATTGAAAGAAATGCCTAAAGAAATATCTGGAGTTAGGAGACTAATTTAATCCTTTCAAACAAACAAAAAAATGCAAGATCTTCAGAAAGCCAAAATAATCCTCTATGGTTGCAATTTCTGGGAAGTGTACATCTTAATGGTTTTACTGAGAAATGTCCTGCAAACAGGCACAGAACAGATGCCTTCCTTACTCATTAAAGAAAAAAACCCTATTGTATCAAAAGTGAAACTGCAATAAAGCCCCTTTAGAAAAATATAAAAAGTGGGATTTGATTCTCTTTCTGGTTCTAATATAGCAAATCCTGAAAAAGTGTATTAGCTTCATAGAATTACTGCAGTTAAAATTTGAGACCGCATTTTGGCTCATGTAATTTGAAAAATAACAATATTTGTGATATTTTAACATAGTATAGGCACAATTGCTTCTCTCTTATTTTATCTTTTATTTCATCACAGAACAGTGTTGCTTGTGCTTTGGCATTTTAATAGATTTGGTTATAAAATATCACTTTATTTGCTGTTAGAGAACATAAGTTATTTTAAGAAAGAGAAAGGAGCTAGGATTTTCATTGTGTTGTGGTTTACTGACATAATCAATGTGTCTGATAAAGGGTCGAGGAGGAATATGTGGACCGTGGATCCCAGATGATGGCCAGATATTTACTCACACTTTGTCTACAGCTGGCAAGATGAGCCAAAGAAACTGGACTGCCAAGGTAAAGTATATTTATTGCATGCAGGAATTTACCTGGTTTGCTCTTTTCAGAGCTTACTTGTGTTGTGGTTTAACCTGGCTGGCAACTAAGCACCACGAAGCCGCTCGCTCACTCCCCCCTCCCCCTCAGGGGGATGGAGAAGAAAATCGGGAAGAAAATAAAAGGTTAGAGCCGAGGGCTGAGATAAAGACAGTTTAATAAGAGAAAATAATAATAATAGTAATAATGAGAATGGTAACAGAATATACAGAATACACAAAACGAATGATGCATAATGCAATTGCTCACCACCCGCCGACCGATGCCCAGCCCATCACGAGCCACGATCAGTCCCTGAGCCACGATCACTCTCCCCGTCACTGCTGTACTCCCAGCTTGTTATGCACCTGGCCGAGCAGGAGAAGCTCAAAAAGTCCTTGAGTAGTCTGAGCACTACTTGGCAACAGCTGAAAACATCAGTGTGTTATCAACATTCTTCTGGTACTAAATCCAAAACACAGCACTATGCTAGCTACTATGAAGAAAATTAGCTCTATCCCAGCCGAAACCAGGACATTATCCACCCCTTATTCTATACCATTTATGTCATGCTTAGGTCCTACCCTTACAATACATTCCAATTAATCACCACCACCTTCCCATTTTTTGATATATATATATATACATATATATACACACACACAACACAGATATCATTCCCTTAATTTATGGACCATCCCTCTAAAATGTCTATTGGGTTCATCTAGTTCACAGTTTTGGGCTCCATCTGTTGTAACGGTCTTTCAGGGCAGATGAGTTGGGGTCTGGTGTTGGGTTGATTCGCGCTGAAGTCAGTTCTGGTTCCATCCGCTGCACTTCCTCAGTTTCTTCAACATTCGTTCCTCTTAATCTGAGCGATTCTTGCTGCTATACCATTGATAGGATATACAGCAATAGTAAAAATGATGACATACTATATTATACAGCCATTAACATTATACAGTTCAGTTCATTGGCTGTTTTCACCCAAAATCAAATCCCTTTGAGGTACACATCGGACTTCCCCGTCCTTCCGCATCACCCACCAAGTAGAACCAGGTCCTTGAGCAAAAGCAATCCCACGGATGGGTTTGCCTTTACCTGAGGCAGGAGTAACCCAGACTGTCTTCCCCAGCATATTTTTTACATGCACTACAGGGACTTTATCCCCTTCTACAGTACGTAAGAGGTTTGATTGGGCAGGGCCAGCTCGGTTGGCAGATCCTCTAGTGTTGACTAACCAGGTAGCTTTTGCTAAATGTGTATCCCAATGTTTGAATGTTCCACCACCCATTGCTTTCAGCATAGTCTTTAACAGTCCGTTGTATCGTTCAATTTT